AATGTGAGAAATTTACTAATTGTAAATTTTGATTTAAACCACTCTATTTCACAAAATAATCTGTTGTCAAATTATTTAAAAAATATTAGAGGTTTCAGGGTTTCAAATAACACTTTTTTTATTTTGTCCAAACTAATAGTCATGGAAATAAAAATGCTAGAAAATTAATTTTCGTGTTGGTTACATGTGTGAGCCACTGTATATACGTACGTCTTGAATTTTTGAAAGTATAGGACTGTAGTTTCTGGTATTTTTAGTTGACAATAGGTATCGTTTATTTCTGTAAGTGCATTTTAATGGGTCATGAAAGGTTTGATCACGTAAATTTTGTCTTTTATTAATTGAGTTTGTTGGAAAACATGATTTTTTTTATTAAACTAAATAACAAATAGATGTCTTCTTTTTGAAGCTATTTTTGTCGGTATCATTTGTGCAATTTCTAATCTCTGTAGCAAAAATACCTTTAGATTTATCAAGCTAAGTCATAGCCCGACTTTATCTATACAGTCAACTCTTTCTATTATCAATCTCTTAATATCAATAACTCCATTTATTGCAGAACAAATTTCACTTGGACTAATATATTGATACTCACTTTAACCTTTGAGTTATCAACCCTCTTATATAAACAAAAATGACTGGTTCCGTCCTGTTGATAAAACAAATTTTACAAACAAGATAAACTAATGAAAATATTTAGATACCGTTCTCTATTAATTTCAGTAAATACTCGTCTCGATAAATCTTTCTAATTAAATAAATTCTTTTGTTTTAAGAAAGAAAATAAAGTTAACTGCCTCGGACAATTTAGATTTTTTACTAATTGAAGAGAACCATAATAAACATTTTCTTATCACAATCATCGAAATTACCGAAACAATAGAATATCGAGGATTCTGAGCGCGTTTTGGTGGAAGGATTAGCAACTTTGTTCTAATATCGATACATACTCTTTCCAACTAGGTTGTCCATATCCAAATTTCTTATCGGGCACATAAGTAAGTAAAAAGTGACTAATTATATCTGAATCAGCAATCGGGGCGAATTTTGTGCCTATTCCATTTGTTTTGTTTGTTCAAAATTATTACGTGCACATAAGACACCTGATTGTGATGATATTGTTACTACTATTCTAAAATTATTGTAATTAAAGAAATAATTTGTAACAAAGTTGTTAGCAAGACTGAATGATTTACAATAAACTGTTGTTTTTAAAAGTTCCAAAGGTCTTCTGTGCCAACCTTTGTGAAGGTTGTGATTGACACAAATAAAGTAAATGTAATATAACAAAATAATCAAAAATATAACTTAATGTAAGACTTATTGAAAGTAGAGATCTTATACTTTTGTAATTAATCAAATGAAAAGATGTGTTAACAAGTGAGTATTTAATTACAAGTTGACACTTTTTATTGATTAGAGCATGAGCTTCTTTTACTGAAGAGAGCTTCTTTTATACAAATTTATAGGCTACACTAATTACATAATTTGGCATTACTACAAGTGTTAAATCAGTGTTAAATTTGCTATCATTACAAAGAAATAATCTTGGATAAGTGTTAAATTGTTGTTATATTTGTCAAAATGGTAAGTATTACGTGTTAGATATGTGTTGAATTTCACAAAGACAATTCTGAATGACAAATTAATGTCGAAAAAGGTGCTAGAAAGGTGTTAAATATGACAAAAATTAGAAATTGATTACAAATTGGTGTTAAAAAGTTTACGTGTAATGTTAAAAATTAGTTTTAAATCACATAATATTTTAGCGATACGTGATAGAAATGAAAATCATGTTAAAATTATGGAATTAAAGAATTTAAGGTTGCTACGGCAACAATATTAAAGGATTTTTTCTAATATATTGCGCTGGTGTGATTTTTTTTGTAACGACAGTGGGTAGCACTCAGCTTACAAATAGTAGATTCCGAAATGTCACAACTTTGGCGTGTGTATTTTGGCTGATGAAAAACATTTCGTTCGCTTATTCAATGGTGCGTAATAGATGATCAAATTTGAAATGATATAATGTAATCTTTTGACCTTGGAGAAAAGGTATCATTACATCGTTATTCCACAATTGATAAAGATTTCCCATTTACAGATAAAAATGAAATATGGAAATCGCGAGTAAGAAATAAAGATGAAGCTATCATATAATTTGTCCCTCTACTAAAATTAAGTTGGTATTGATTTAGGCACAGTTTTCTCATGTGCCGGAGTATGGAAAATGGTAGAATGATCAAGATAATCGTATTACGCCATCATACGTGGCATTCACCAGAACTAAACGTCTTATTGATGAGCTGGCTAAAAATCAAGTTAATACGAATCCATGTAATACAGTTTATTCGGCGAAACGTCTTTTGGGCTGTTCTTTTCATGAAACAGAAGTTCAATCGGATATAAAGGTTATTTTATATTCTATATTTTTTCATCGAACGACGTATTTTTCCTCTAATGATGATTTTGTAAAATGGGATTCACAGTATTGGCCTTTTACAGTGATTGATAAAAAATGGGAAACCTTACATTGAGGTTGAATACAAAGATGAGAAAATGCAATTTGCCCCAGAAGAAATTTTAGCGATGCTTCTTGGGAAAATGAAACAGATAGCTGAAAATTATTTAGGCAAAAAAGTAACTAATGCAGTGATATCGTTTCCAACTTTATCTAAGAAAATCGATAATTGACGTTGGGCTAAATGTATTGCATACTATTAGTTCAACAGCAGCAATTAGCCTTGCATATGGTACTTTGAAACGAGTGACTGAAGAGCGTAATGTACTTATTTATGACTTGGGTGCAGGAAGCTTAGAGGTTTCCTCGATGATTATAGTATATAGATGAAATACACGAAGTGAAAGCGGTTGCAGGAAATAATCATTTAGGAGGCGATGATTTTGATAATCGTCTAGTTATCAAGTTTATTCAAGAATTTTTCAAAGATATAATAGGGATATTTCTAATAACCTTAAAGCTTTAAGAAGACTTCGAACTGCTTGTGAACGAGAAAAGATTCACTTATCAGCAGCGAATCATGCTAGAATCGAATTAGAAAAATTTCTTAATGGAATCGATTTATTACATCTTTGACACGTGTTGCATTTGAAGAGTTAAATAACAATCTATTTTATTTTACCTTGGAATCAGTTGGAAAAGTTCTTTGTGACTCTAAAATCGATAAATCACAAGTTGATGAAATTGTTTTATTTGTGGCTCAACACGCATTCCGAAAATTCAAGAAATTTTACGTGAATATTTTGGCGGCAAAAAATTAATTATAATGAATGCAGATGAGTCGGTGGCTTGTGGTGCTGCTATAAAGGCTGCAATGCATTCTGTCAATTGTCCGGAAAAGTTAGCTGACACTCTAGTCTTGGATGTTATACCATACACGATCGGAATAGAGACAGCTGGCGTGTTAGTTAGCATATATTCAGTTATTTAAAATTTGTTTAATAAATAATATTAACACAAAATATTTTTAGAGTTATGACACCAATTATTAAAAGGAATACAACAGTGCCACTAAATAAGTATTTCCAACTTATCACAATAACCAATCAATATTATGATTTCATATATACGAAGGTGAATGTGCTAGAACTAGGGATAATAATTTTTTAGGAAAATTTCCGCTTGAGGGGATTCCACCTGCTCCACGTGGTGCTCCTCAGATTGAAAGCACTTTTGACGTTAACAATAATGGGACCTTAAAGTAAGATTTTTATATTTTAATTCTAACTTTATCAATATTAGAATCGCAGTATAATTGTATTTTTAACGTTAAAGGTTTCTGCAGTTGATAAATCAACCGGTCGAAAATACGCCGCAATTTATGAAAAAGATGGTTTATCAAAAGCTGAAAAATTAAACGAACGAGTAAATAGACTTTTTAATTGTGATTTTATCTTAATTTTTATTTATCATAATTTTTCTTTATCTTATTTTTTCTTTATTTAAAAAAGTCAAAAATATCGAGAAATTTCAAAATGACGATAAAGTAATAGAAGAAAACATAGCGGCTCGTATAGAATTGGAAAATTACGTAATGAGTTTAAGAACAAGACCGGTATATGTATAGCTTGGTTTTCATGTCTTTTAATCCAAAGTTATTTATCATTCATTATTTGTCAAATTTAATTATTAAGGAAACTCATTCTCTCAATGAGCTTATCCAAGACGCGTTGGATTGGCTTGATAATAACCACGATGTTACAAAGCAAGAATACGAATATAAAAATTTGAGAACTCGATTTCGGTCTTTTTTTTTGCTTTGAATATATAATCGTAAGAAAGATAACTCGCTTTTTCGCAGAGCATAAAAACGTTTACTATTACGACGCATTTGTGAAATGGATTTACGTAATTAAGAAAATCTAAATCGATTTATTTTTGTCTATTATTCATATTACGCGTAGAATGCTTAAATTGCTTATTAATAACTTACAAAGAAAAAATTATCTAATTTTCTTGGAAATGATTTGGACTTTATCAACCCTACCATTATCTGATTGAAATTACATTAATGGCTCATACAAGTGCTCACCAAATATTGTACTTGAAGGTTCTATGTGTATGCAATTCATAACTTTATTGTCCATTGATACTGCGAAAAATGAATCATCAAATACATTCTGATTTCATGTTGAGACTTATTTTTATTGTTTGAATCATATCCATCATGAAGATACCAAGCCAAATATAATAGATTAAATGGCTGCGGCTTCTTGAAAAACTAATTGATGAAGATGATTTTCCAAAAGCTGCTTTTAAAATTACTTAAGATATATGAATTATGTGCATTCCACGACCAATTCGTATTGAATTTATTTGGCTTTTTTGTTCAATTGCACCTTTTTGACCATCAAGCATACACAGTAAAGTCCGATAAACCGAAGTGGTCGGTCTATTAGAGCTAAATTCCTAAAATCTAGTTTATTGAGATTTAATTAAGAAATCCGGTTTATCGAGTGAAATTTATTAACATTATACACTTCAATCCAGTTTATCGTGATTTTAATTAGTCTCCGCTTATTGAAAGCCCAGCCTATCGAAATTCACAGTGTATGCAGTGCAGTACATGTATTATCCATTAACCAAATTGAACATTTTTGTTGATAGAGTACATGATAACGATAACTAATTATTTTTTTATTACACAATACATACAACAAGATTCATTGCGAATTCTATCTCAATGTGCGAAACTTTCTGATGCCATGTAACTCAAGGTAGAAACTGCTAACTAATTTTGTGGTGGTTCTCCCATCAAAAATTCATAAACTAATCGCATACATTCAACTGTGCAGTCAAAGAAACCTAAACAACTAGTGCAACTTTGGTAGTTAGCCATACCATTTGAGATGAATATTGATTTTTTTGATTAAAGAGCATTTACTTGGCGTTTGAATACATTTTTAAAGGTATGGTTCCCGTATTCACCAAAAAAATTGTAGATAGACGATCAGTCTAAATGACGGTTTGATGAACCAAGGATTGAATTTTTAATAAATTTTTCATTATTTCATTTTAGTTTTCTGTTTTCTAATCCCAATGCGCTGTTAGATTCTTGTAAGCTTTAAACAGATGTGGATTTTTTTATAGTTAAGTGCCTTTTTTGGAGATGTGTTGATATAATTTGAGCTTCTGATTTTCTGCTGAATATCTCATTTCTTAAACAATTTTAATGCACAAGTTTTTTGAGGTTCGGGTAATTCACGAATTTGTTGAAATACTATTTTCCTCTTTACTATTACTGAATGGATTTTTTATAATATTCAAATGAATTCGCGGGTAATTGAAAGCACATTAAAATTCATTGATATTTGATTGATTTTTGTATTTCTTTGTCGAATAGCTATATGTTTTTTTTTTGGTTTTCGTGGCATAATTGTTTATGATACATGTAACATGATTTGTAACATTCGATAAACTTGTATACGTACATATATCGATATCGATATTGGAATCAATTTAAATCCTTATTCTTGGAAATAAATATGCCAAACCTGTTCTACACAGAACATACCTCGTGACCGCTAACGCTGACATTCTTTTTGAAATTTGGTGTCATATGACTGTCCGGAAGAATAACTTTTTTTGCTTTCGTTGGTGTTGCGTTTTTTGAGCGAAGAAATATTCTTCAAATCCCCAGCTTTTTTACTGTATTGTAACATATTCATGGTTCGGACAACTCGGATCTGTAAGATAATATTTAATTCAGTTATCTTTATGATGTAAATAAAACACCGCACCGCCGCTGAAATCAATTCTATCGCCTTACTGAAATATTCGATGTCCTCTGGTATGCAATAGTGTACTCTTAGTAAGGCGTGTTATGTAACCTACTGGATTGTAATCATTAAGACAAATCCTGCAAAGTACAAGAAATTAGAAAAATCCCCAGAGAAATAAAAAGAAAAACAATAAAATTATCATACCACCGTGAATATATCCAACTACATCCATATTTCTCATTTTCTCCGCGTCCAATTTGTTTTACACATATTTCAACGAACATATAACGCATCATTTTTTGGAAGCTTAAGCTTTGACTCGTTGAACCATTTTCTCCTTTGTAATGCCTACCGGCTTCCAGGAGATTGATTAATAATAAGTTGATTACTTCTTCTTCATTGATTTTTAATAAATTTGATGATCCATTATATATATAAGCAGAAGTAAAATTTCTGTTTTTGTTCAGGCTCTTTGAATTGAACCGGGTTTGACATTATTCCAAGCTTTGAGCTGTAAAATAATTGCATCCATAATATTGAGAGGGATTATATGGTGCATAACATCTAAAGTCATCAAACGTTTGTGTTTTATAAAATGTATAAACTTCTTTACAAAGAAGTAAATACAAATTTTAATCCGTGAATATGATAGAATAGGCCCTTTCTGAGCATATTCACGGATTAAATTTTGTATTTACTTCTTTGTAAAGAAGTTTATACATTTTATAAAACACAAACGTTTGATGACTTTAGATGTTATGCACCATAGATATTCCATCTTTAATTCCCTCCGAATTCAAGTCAAGTCTTATTCCTCAAAAGCATTTTCGGATTATCGCATCAACTTTTCTTCCGAGAATCTACAGTACGATTGCAATTCTTTCGATTAGCACTTCCAAGGCTTGATGCTTCGCACTTAGTAAATATTGCAGTTATTTAACAGAATTAACAAAATATTCGTGCCATTTCAATCTTCTACTACTTACCGAACAACCTCAAGATTTGCGATATCGTTATATGATTTGTCAATGATAGGTCTCCATACATTGATCTTGTTCTAGGATTCGTGATGATCTAAAGAGAACGTGTTTGGATGACGCGTATATTGTTATATCCTACAAATAAATGAAGCTTGTACTGAATAATCATTCGCATGCTGTTTAAATTTAGTACCATACTTACAAACTGTAGATCGAATATTTAGAGTGTCAATTTCAAAGCTGTATTCTACACGATCCGCTCTTTTAATGACCTCACTGATTTCTTCCGTGCTAGTCCATGCAGAGCGTGTTAATTATGATAAGATAACAATAATTGATAGCGCATTTTTCAAACAAACCTTGTTATAATATTCGGCGAGAGTTTCATACATTGCGGTGCTTAACTCCGGCTCTTCCTTTGTATTTATTGATTCTAATTCTTTTAATGCTTCAGGGTAGAGAGGAGGGCTAGAGTCTAGTGTTGTCATTGTTGCACATCCAAACGTCCAAATTTCCTTTTTCGAATTGGCCACACCAATCAACTTGTTATATTTTCGTTCAAGTTACTATAAACGGCAACTTGGACGTCCTTGGATGTGTAACGTTGACAACACCGCGGCTAGAGTATATGTAAAATTGCCTCACCGACGTTTTTAAGATATTACATTTTCCATATTTACGTTCGTGCTTCTGATTCGTTTTTCCGGATTTACAACGCTTTATCCCCAAATTTGATGAACGTGGTGACATGAGCGTATCCAAAAATAAAAGACTATTGCTATATCGATATAGAAACATTCATCACGAATGAATTTCCATTTACAAACTATGCGATTTAATGAGTGTTCCCAGCCACTTCAAATCGCGCTCCATTTAGTGATGTCTATTAGTATTTAGCATTTTAGCGATCCATCGGTAATCGAGCTCTCAAAAAACTTTTGTTACACTATATTCTTTCTCTATTATACTTTTTGTAAACCCACGAATTATTCTCAAATTCATAACAAGCTCGTATTCTGAACTACCGGCTTAGAGAACTTCGCAATTGACGTGAGAAGAAGTCGTCTTTCTTCCGATATTTGCGGCATTGATTAATGCAAGTGACGCTAGAAAACAATCAATCATTGGTGTTAATACCATGATTTGTTCAAATATTAAACACTTTCTTAAAAGCTTAGTGTCTGCAAGTAGATGATTTCCAGTTTCAATTGTGACTAAGGGATCGAAGCGAGATTATTAAAACGATGAAAAATCATATATTTTAATTTATTCTGTCTAATAAGTATACTGAAATTCAATTTTAAGAATTATATATTATAATTAGAAGCTTCAATTTCTCCAATATTGGCTACATCGTATTCAGAATTTTGTCATGTGGGAACAATTGAAGTGATGCAAATACTGGAATATGTTGCCAATTTGTTGACACTTGTATTTTTTCTGTCAATTTGAAAGCTTTCTCCCAAATTTGAAAAGAACAGTAAACGTGATAGCATATAAGTTGACGACAAGAATAGAGTGGAAATTGTGACTTTCGTATTATAATAATTTTTGTTGTTATCATTAACATCTATTTCTATTTTTTCGTTTAAAATATTGCAAAGTATCGAGGGTTTGGATTTTTACGAAACATATTTACTATCCACGTTAAATAAAATGGATACCGATACGTACGATGTAAAACCACTCGATAATATGGCTGTTTGAAATTACACAATATTTGGGAAACTACAAGAACTACGTACTCATTTTTTTATTTTTTGTATTAGTGAAATGATGTTATACACCTATAATAATTGAATGCAATACACCCCCTTATTAAAATCATAAATTTTATTTATAAAAAGAAGTGCAAAACGAACAAAACAAATCTTGTAAAAAGTGATTAGTTATATACTTTAAATTGAAACGAATATTTTGCATAACGATAAAAACTACCTTGCATGAAATTTTAATTTGAATGCTAAAAGAAAATATAATACCAATAATCAAAAATCAATAAAAAATCTACAGATTGAATTTTGTAAGAATTAAGAGATTTTATTAAAGTAGAAAAGAAAATTAATACTAGTTCTTAAATAGTCATTTTTTCGTTTCTTTTAGTATTTCTTGCTCCGGAATTTCATCCGGAATTTCATCTGGAATTTCACCCGGAATTTCAAGCGTATGTTGTTGTTTCGTGAAAAACAATTGCGACGTGACTTGATCTACTCTTTCAATTGATAAAGACAATTCGAATTCACAAGTCGTTTTTTCGTGCGATTCATCAGCATTAATTGAAATTTGGTCCCAAGCATGACTAATTTTTTTTGTTTTCCACTCGAAAAAAGTTCTGAATATTTTAGCTGCAGTTGGTCGTTTTTTCGGATCTTTATCCCAGCATTGTTGCATTAGTGCTCGATATGGTTCTGGTGTTCCAGGAATACTTTTTGGTCTTTTACCTTCGAATATAGCCAAGAGTAAATTTATATCGTGATTAATATCTTCGTATGGAGATCTCCCCGCGGTAACTGCCCACATCAACATTCCCACACTGTAAATGTCTGATTTAGTTGTGTACGATTTTTCGTCTAATACTTCTGGGGCTATATATGGTAATACTCCGCTGACTTCAAGAATGGCTGGATTCTTTAAAATTTCACTCCCTAGACCAAGATCACTTACATAGAAATTTCCAGTCTCGGTATGCAAGATATTTCTAATGTGTAAATCCCTGTGTGCGTAACCAGCTTTATGAAAAAATTGAAGCGTCTTTGCAATGTCATAGATAATTTTAATTTTTTGCTCCCAACTTAGTGGATGATTTTCCTTGAGAAATGAGCGAAGATGACCACGTGAAGCGTATTCTAATACCATCATATACCTTGAGGTATCTGGATCCTTCGTAATACCCCAGCATGTTGGTATATCGGTGTAGTAAAAAGAAACATGGAGATTTAACTGTATTATTCAAGAACAATGTTAAGTATAATTTAACTTATAAATAAATCCAATTAACCAATTAATAAATAACTTGCCTCGTTGATAAATTTCCTGTCAAAATCTTTAGTTGTATTAAGAGCTTTTAATGCCATAATTTTATCCTCCATTCCTGTTGGACCATTTTTCCAAACTGTCTTATAAATTGTACCTTCGCCGCCTTTATCCAGAATTTCTACATTTTCAAATTCACTAAAATCCACCCATCTAATCATAAGATCCGTACGCGGATTATCCACAGCACTTAATTGGTGAGATTTTAGATAATCGTCAAAAAGTTTATTACCACATGACCAAGTCTCAAAGTGTTTAATAATCGAAGCACGCTTTTTCTCGCGATATCGAAGACATGGATTACAAGTGTGACCATGTTTACGTGTACTTGAGCATTCGCAATAGAGTTCTTCGTCGGTTGATTCGTTGGAGAAAGTTGTAGTTGTTTGAGAATCTGAGTCGGATGATACGTGGTTGGGCATGCTAATAAATTCAAATTTTTATTTTCTGCAAAAGATTGTTCTATGCTTACATATATATATCGATATTTATACTTGGTGAAAGAACCTTTTTTTTTGCATTCATTCAATGAATATGCGAAACAACAAATTGGGGAATAATCAGCAAGGGCAAAGCATCCATTTCGATATAAACAATTAGAAACATGCATACACATAGAGGCAACAATAACAAGCAAGAGTTAAACTAGTTATTCGGAGACAGTTTTCAATAAATAAGATAACGATAATGCATACATACAATAGGAGTCTTTATAGCGATAAAATGAAGATACGTATGGATTGATTGTAGCATATCGATATTACAAAATGGATAGACTAAAATGCCACAATTGGAAATGTCATTTGGATATGGGTGCACTGTACACATTGTACGTAGATAAACAAATCGCTTATTGGTGGTAAGTTTTGTCTTTGTTGATTTACCGTTATCGTTACGTATTAACTACGTTCCTGTATAAGCATGTATATAGCCATTAATACATCCGAAATAATTTCTTGCAGTGTTGTCAACGTTATAGATCCAATTGTTTTTTAATTGGAATTGGACATATAATTTTATATGTCCAATTAAAATGAGGTGCAGCTTATTACGTATATCCAATTGGACACTTCTGACAACACTGATTTCTTGTGCCGAGAAATGAAGTGGGAACTCATTTTTTATTACATCGATGTCAAAATGTTATTTGAAAGGTATATAATCTCGTGACAAGTCTAAAATTGTATTTTTTTTTGGAAGAGGATAAAGCAGATCATACCGATACTAATCAAACTTAGAAGTTTTTATTAGTTACAAAATTTCTGAATTCTCCGATATCGATATTCTATTTACGATATTCCATTTTTCAAATTGGGTCCAATATTAAATTTCGGTGACTACCTTGATGAATGTCTCCTTCAATACTATTTTATTCCATGTTAGATTTTATTGTTATATTTGCGAATAATATCATTGAATTTGCATTTTCTATGTACGTACAGTACCCCCAAAAAGTAACAAAATCAATATATCAAGTTTTCTCCCACTTTGATAAACAAACTTGACGTTCTGTTTATTTTTACGATACGTTAACATTTTATATTATTGTGAAGAAATGAAGTCCACCAGTACATAATTAAACGAAATTGAAAAAGGGAAGATTCTGGCATATATGGAAACCATAAATGCTACCCAAATCGCAAAAATGCTTGGACGTGACCCCACAACAATACGGCGCTTCATTAAGAAGTATAAAAAGTGAAAACTTACTACGTTCTGGAAGACAACCTGTCCTTAATAACCACCAAAAAGAACTACTCCTATGTAAAGTTAACGAAAAACGACATTTACCACTCCGCGAAA